TGCTCTGACTGCACCGTGGACCCTGGCCTCCAGGGAAGCTTTCCACAGAATTCTTCTGTGTCAGCTTCTTTGGCCAGGAATGGGTCACTTTTGTAGCCCCTTTCTTTCTCTCTCTGTCTCTCTCTCTCTCTTTCTTTTTGTTGCTACTTTAAACCAAATTTCTGATTATTTCCATTGCAAAGGTGACTAAAAGCAGAATGGCTGTATCAAAGGCTATGATCTTTTGATACACCATAATCTTTTACTTTCCTTTGATTTTTGCTTCTTTTATAGGTAAAAATTATTACCTTTCAGCTGCAAATTGCATACATTTGAACACTAAGGAAGTTGAAATCTTTTTCATTTATTAGTCATTGGGTTTCTGTTCTCCTAAAGAAATATCTATCCGTGCCTAGTGCTCATTTTTCTTTCGGTAACCTAATATTATTTGTGTCTTCATTTAAATGATCTGTCACATTTCTTGCCAACTCCCCCAAGGTTCCTTTGATAAATAAATGCTGGAGTTACACAAAGGGGCTGGAGAAACTCGGGTGTCATGCATGTGTCACTGCCTCGCAGTACTGGCTGTGTTCGTGAAGATGTCCCAGGGCCCGGCGTGTAACACGCAGTCCTCCCACGCTCAGAAGTAGTGCAGCTGGGGCCAGCTTGGCCAGCAGGGGCTGTTGTCAGCGCTGTGCTCCTCCCGGCCGCGTGGGGTGCGGGCCTTAGACGCACGCGCCCGGCACATGGCAGATCACCTGCACACAGGCGCGGACTCCTGCACCTTCCGCCCGGACGCTGTCCCCATTTCATTCCCTCCCTCACTCCGCCTCTTCTCCCCGAGTGAACAGGCCATGTGGGACGGAGGGGCCGGGGCCCTGAGCAGTGGGTTCTGGGGCTTGGAAGTCTGCCTCTGCACACCATTCTCTCTGTATGGTAGCATTGCACCCGGAGAGTAATTCTGCCCTGTGTTTTTAAGTGAGAAGCCAGAGGCAAGACGTCTACAATGCAAGAATGAAGGTCAGGGGCTCGATCGAAGACCCACGTTGTTTGGATTTCATGTACCCGAGTTTCTGGTCCCCGAGTATATCTGCCCTTCACACGCCTCGCTTTTGCTTTGCTGGTGCCCGGGAGAATAAAATGCAAAGAAACACTGGCAGTTTGCCTCGACAGTGATCCGATCTTTGGTTGGTTGCCCTTTGAGGAGGAAGGCTTTGCGTGAGGACTTACGGCGGTGAGCATATTCTCCCACCAGACCCTACTCCGTGCAGCTCACAGATGCGCGGTGCCATCCTTGCTAACTGACTGTCCTGCTTCTGGTTGCGCTTCCCCGCGAAGACGCTCAGGTGTTTCTGGAGAGGTGGGGTGGCTTCCTGGAGATGTGCTCTTAGCTGCAGACTTAACTTCCCGAGGGGGCGCTGTGCACAGCGCCCTGACTGAGGACTGGAGGTGAGTGACTCGGCCTCCTGCCTCGGTTTCTGCATTCGGGAACAGGTGCTAACACATCCGGCTCCCGTCAGGTTGCAGTGAGGTAAATAAAGCAATGGACAAGCACCTCCCCGCGCGGGGCTCCATGCATCGCTGCGCAGTAGCGGCGCCGGCGCCGAGCCGTGGTGCTATTTCTGCCCCTCGTCATCATCGCGTCCATCAGAGGTGACCTTGGCCCTGGCTTCCAGCCACTGAGGAGCTGTTGGCAACATAGGGAGAGCAAATGGGACGTCCAGAGTCCGGGTGCTCCTGACTCCGAAAGACAGAAAGGAGATGTGCGAGAAACCGTCCCAGAGTCAGTTGCTCGGGGTGCATGGGTCGGAGCCGAGCGCGTGTGTGCGTGGGTGTGCGCACGCGTCCATCTGTATGTGTGTCTGTGCACACGCATGAACACGCCATGTGTGTGGCCCGACTCCTGCAGTGCCGGGCTGGGGTCCCGAGAGATGCTGTCTTCGAATCTGACTCAAGCGAGTTAGCCACAGCGGGCAGCCGGGAGGGGACGGGAAAGTGGGGAGCCACCCGGCCCCGCCTCCGCCCGCCCGCGGAAGGAGCGTGTGGGAGGCCTGGACTCACCCGATCTGACCCGTGAGGTCACAGCTCTCTCCCCTCCGCCCTGTGCCGGGCAGGTGGCAGGTGGGCATGCGGTCTGCTGTGACGACCGAGCAGGGGTTCGGACAGGGTCGGTCATCTGCCCCGGGCCGCAGGGCTGAGGGGCTCGGACCAGGCAGTGCCCTGGCCGGCTGTGACGGACACACTTGCTTTCAGGCTCTACAAAGGGAAGGGAGGCCGGGTTTGAGAGCACATGCCCATAATTCCAGGGAGGCTGAGGCAGGAGGGTCGCTGCTGTGCGGAGGCCAGGCTGCATTACGCAGCAAGACTGTCTCAAAAAGCAAGACAACAAAGGGGCTGCGAGGGGTGTTTTAGAAGTTGGCACAAATAGGACGGAGATGATTCTATTACCTTTCTTTCATTCTCCTGGCAACCGGGCCAGATCCTTTGTGTGCAACACGGACACAGTGACACGTCGGGGCCAACGTCAGCGTGCTTGGGTGAGCGGCCTGGGGGGTCACAAGGCCCCCGTCCCTGAGCCTCCCCTGGTGCTCTCTGGCGCCTGCCCTGGGCTCGCCATGGCGATCGCCCCGCACAGCTTGCTCTTTGCAGAGGGACCGCGTGTGTCTGCAGCTGTGATGCAGAGGGCACAGCCGCTGGGGCGGAGCTGAGTGTGACCTCCCGCCCTTTCGCGCAGCCTCGGCCGGCCCTGGGCTTACTGACGCCTGGCCTGCCGCACAGCGGGCAGAGGGAGCCGCTCCCTGGGCAGGCGACCCGGAGCCTCCTGCGCCTCCACCCACTCCGGCCATCCCTCCCGTGGCCCGGCCACCCTGCCCGGGGTCTCCCTCTGCCACCAAGGAGAGGGCAGGCGCTGTGCACACAGGCTGCCCAACAGGCTGCAACTGCGGCCTCCATTCTTGCCGACAGACGGGCGAGGGCGCCGGACGCCGGTGCTGTGCCACAGGAAGGTTTGCTTGCTTGGAAATATCTCCTTCATTCCTTCTGAGTCACGGAGGTTTAGACTCTGTCTCACGTATCCGTGGGCTGTCTTTAACCCATTCATACCTTTTTGTTTTTTGAGACAGGGCCTCGATGTGTGATGTGTACTTTAGGCCGGTCTTGAACTCACTATGTAGCCCAGACTGGCCTCAAAGTCACTGAGACCCTCCTGTCTCAGCTTCCTGAGTGTTGGGATTACAAAAATGCATACATATCCATTGTATGTATTAATAGAGCTCCATGGGATGGTTCCATACTTGCATACAGCAGGCACTGATCAAATCCAGCCACTCTTTACCCCACCCCCTTCCCAAACTGGCAATCACTATTCTGATTTCAGGCCAGTGTTTTTAGCTTCCACACACTCAGTGCTTGCCTGTGCCTGGATTATTTCCTGTAATCTAACATTCTCCAGTTCTATCCCCTTCACTGCAAGTGAGAGGATTCAGTATTTCGCTCCTCTTCATGGCTGAGTAGTACTCCAAATGTAGCTATGTCACATTCTTTCTCTGCTTCAGCTCTGGTAGGCACCAGCTGACTCCTCATCCTAGTGCCCTAGCTGTGTGAAGAGGATCCTCCAGGCAGGATCCCGGAGGGCCTCACTCTCCAGGCACAGGGTTCCATCTGTCCATCTTTGTCTGCAGCCACCCCGGGCGCACTAAAGTGGGAGGGCATTATAAGGAGGGCTGCAGGGGACTCTGCTCCTGCTTGGGGGTGGATCCTGGGGCAGCCTGGGCAGGTGCTGGTTTGCATCCAGCAGTACCCTCCATCGTTTTCAACTTCCTCTGCCACTCTGCCGCCACTTCCTGTCTCTTGGTTAGGGGAGGGGAGGCCCCGTAGTTGGGAGTCGGAGAGATCACCTCCAGCGGGGTGGGGGGGTTCCCAGAAGAAAAACAGGGTGCTGGCCCTGGAAGGGAGGCTGGGGGCCAAGGGACAAAACTCCTGGGCTGCTCCCTGCTTGCTGCTTATCCCAGGACTGGGACAGGAGTGCGGCCCAGACGCCACCTGGCCCCAGAATCCCCAGTGTCTTGGGAAGTAAACCAGGTGCAGAAAGACAAAGCCCTCCTGACCACCGGCACCTACGAGTGAGGTGCAAAGCGCTGACCCTGGAAGCAGTGAGTGGCAGGGAGCCTGGCGTGGCTGGGAGCTATTGGGGGTGTGTTGTTGGCGGGCATGAAACTTCAGTGAGACGCGGGTAAGCCCAAGAGCTCCACCGCACCCCGTGCTGACTTTAATCTACCGTGTTCTTGAAAAATCCTGAGAGGATGAGTACACGGCATTCTCATCACAAAGGTGGGAACCCGGTGAGGTCAGTGGTCCGCATTTAGGCGTCACCATGTTAACCTACTTCACAAGATCGCGTCGTCCACAGTTAATGTGCACGGCACAATTGTATCTGTAGACGTGAAAAGTGAAAATGAAGCTAAGCTACTGGGAGAGATGGGGAATATGGAAATACATGCACAGAATATGCTGAGATGAAATGCTGATATATTTGCTTATTCCTGTTATCCTCACGTTTCCAATTTTGCCATGGACAAGGGGGAAACATTCGAGATGTGTTTTTCCTTGCCCACGGCCAGGCTCAGTTTTGTGATTGTCGAATAGCGCTGCTCTGGGCAGGCAGGTAAGAATGTGCGGGTGAGGGCTTCAGGCCATTCCCCTGCCGAGAATATTTTATAATCACAACTGGAACACATATGTTGCTCTCTGACACATAAAAATAATTTAAACTTCTCCACATGAAAGACAGTGCCCTTTCCCCATCACCATAAAGAGCGGTCTCTTTGGTTTGCCCTCGGAAAGCGAAATAACTATGCCATGAAATGTTAAGCCACGTTCTGCTCTTAGTGACCCTGGGTACAGTGGCAAAGTCCTGGCTTAAGAGAGTGGCCGACGTTCTCCCACCCCTTCTGTTAACATTTTACGTTCGTCACAGGAGCCGGCAGTGATGCAGGCCTTTTGTTTGTTGTTTACAAACCTAGAACCATCTCGGCTAAGACTCACCATCAGGCTGTGAACTTCAACATCTTCGAGGGCATGGTCTGCCACGGGGTGCCGCTGGTGACGATTTCAAGGGGCAAAGTGGTATACGAAGCTGGAGCTCTGAACGTCACCCCAGGACATGGGAAGTTTATTCCACGCAAACCATTTGCTGAATATGTTTACAAACGAATCCAGCAGCGAGACCAGGTGAGGCATGCCACAGCAGTGCTGCAGCCAGCTGGCCCGTCACTGCTCTGGGGTGCGGGTGGCCGTGGAGGTGATCACGTGTCATTCAGCGAAGCACACTGCTGGTGTGAGCCTGCACGGATGAGTCCATTCAGATTTTCTCCCGGTTCAAGTTCACAGTCCTTGGGGGCCTGTTGCCAATCCAGTTAGTCAGGGACCCCAAGAAGCACCCAGATGCTAAAGATGCAGGATCTTATCAAGGGAGACCCCTGGAGAGAAGGGGAGGGAGGCAGGTGAGCCTGGAAGAACGCCACTCCAGTGTGACCCAGGAAGGAAAGAAGAAAAGGTGGAGTAGAAGGACCCTAGAGCCCAGACAGCCTGAGGTGGCGGGGCTGGAGTGGTGAGTGGGACCTTCAGGGAGTCCTGCCCGAGTCTCCTGTTTCCCAGCCAAGGTGGTGCCCATTCACTGGCTGGAGCCACTGTAGGAGGCATGGCCTGGGTTCAGAGCTGAGTCGTGGTCCCTGAAGAGTGCAGTGTCCTTGAGTGAAGGACCACCAGCCAGCGGTGGAGGAAGGCAGTAGATGCAACACAAATTCTACCTTGGCTTCCTGTTCCTAGCCAGGGGGCCAAGAACAAGTTCTCTGTCCTCCTGGGGCTCAGTTTCCTCTCCTGGGTAATGAAAACATTTTCTCCTAACACACTGTGAGAGTCAGGTAAGACTGTGACGTTGGAAGGCCCGTGGGCGTCAGTATCACCGGCCTCTCTGCTCCTGTTTCCACCACTGTGCCATAAGAGACCCTCAGATCTCTGGAAAAACTGTGTCATGAAAGAGATATTGATCTTGAGCCTTCAGTTTATCTTGAGCTTTCACAAATGTTTGCTTTGTTTTGTAGATTTTTAAAATAGTTTTTACATTTCACTCTACTAAATACACAAAATGTTAAAAACTTTCAGATTAAACATTGTTTGATTTCTGGATTTTGGAATGGGGAGAGCAGCCCTGTGACCTCAATCCCAGAAAACAGCAAAGTTGCCAGCCTGGGGGCCCCAGCAGGGCGAGGGTCCTGGTTTCTCCAAAGGCTTCCCTGTGCACCTCCTGGGCCTCGAAGATCTGTCACCCTGTCACCCTCAGAGCCTTCTAGAGCCTCCGCTCTCCTTTCTGTTTTTCAAATAAGCATTCCTACTCCACAGTCCTCTGGCTGTGTTTCCACCCATTTCTCGTAGCTCTGCAATCTCTTTGATTTCTCTTCTAATGTTTTGGGAATTTTGTTTTACTTGTGGAATCTCGGAATCCATTACACAAGATTTCTCCCTTTTTCAATGCTTCCAACAGCTTTGACTGGACACACAAGAGCTCTAGAATGCTCCCCATTCAGCACTACAGTCCTGTATATAATGTACTTCTGGCAACACTGGTGGTGTTGGAGGTTATGGCTCTTTTCCTGGGGGGTCATTTAGAAGTATTGACACGGCAGGTGACAAGTGGGTGGAGCCCATAAGGACTCTAGGTGCTTCTGAACCCCTGCGTGGTAAACAGCAGCAGTTCTGACACTGATGTGTGCTTACTGAATGCAGGGCTTCTTGCCAAGGGCTCTGTCACACAAATCCCTTAGAGGGAAGGGGGTGCCACCTCCCTCATTGTAGAGATTAGGACGCTGAAGCTGCAAGAAATTAACAAGCTTGTCCATGTCACACAGCTAGGATATGGCAGCACAGAGCATAATCCTGGCTGTCTAACTCCCAAAAGTGTATACCTCAGCAATCAACTCTGCAGTAAACTGTAGACTGAGCTAAATGAGGTACTAAGAGATAAATCACTCCCGCATTAGTTTTGGAAAAGAATCTCTCAAAAATTTAATCTGAGTTGGAGCCATTGATGACAGCCACTTCCTCTGTAGTCCAGGGAATGGATAGAAAGGGTGGCTTTGGGAAATCATAAGGAGGGAGCGCCGACAGAACTGAGTGGAAGACCATGTTAATACTTGAAAGGCACAAGGTGGCTCATGGTAGTCAGTTCCGTTTTCCTGCCACCAGGGGCACTGGACTAACTGGGAGCCTAGAATGGGCTGTGTTTAAATGACTGACGGCCTAGTGGTCTTCTTGTAGGGAAAATGTTTTGGGCAGCAGATCACCCAGTGACTGCTGTTATCAGTTCTCCTTTTCAGATTGTTTTGTGTTTTGTCGGCAGAGTTAATGTCAACTCTGTTTTTTTTGTGTTGACTATCAATTTTTGAATTATTTTATTTTTGTAATATTTTCCTCTGATAAATTTTTAGCCATTTTAGCGCATTCAAAAGACAATAAGTAATAATGATCATCTATCAAATGTTCTGAGAACTTACTGCTCTCCCCGTAGGCCCTGTATTATGTAGTTTGTAGTCATTTTGGCAAAATAGATGGTAGATGTTATCATGAAATATAACACACATCCACATGGTAGGTACTATCATTCTTACTTTACAGAACAGAAGGCTGGGTTTCAGCAAAATTAATTTCCCTAGGCTAAAAAGTATAAGTATAAGAGCCAGGATTTGTGATAGATCTTTCTGATTCCCACTGTATCATGGAACCTCTGTAGAAACAAGAAAAGAGAAGAAAATGGTCATGAAACCCAAACCATTATTTTGAAAATGTTGGGAAAAAGTCAAATAAAAATGGTAAAATGAAATGAAGTTTAGGGATTGTCTAGAGGTATTTTAGACCCCTCCTGTTTGCTGTGTTGGACAAAGATGATTTATAGAATAAAAATATCACACAACAAATACCAGATTTTAAATTCACACTATGTTATCAGAGCTTTTTCTTTGGTTTCCACCTAAATTTTTCAGATTTCTTGGGCTGGAGGTATTGCTCAGTGGTAAAGTATTTGCTGAGCACGCACAAGGCCTTGGGCTCAATCCCAAGTACCAGACAAATACACAAGCTCAGATTTCTTTCTGAGTGGGAATTACAGCACAAAAGCAAGCAGGAAGGGCCATGGTATTTCTCCTGCTCACCCCTTATCCTCCCCAAGAAAATGCCACACTTTCCATTTGAACGCTCACAGCACAGGTTAGAGCACCACATCAGCACTTCCAGGCTTCATCTCAGCCATTCTCCTGGCCAGAGTCTCATGTCCTTTGGGACAGCATCTGATTCTTCCTACTCTGACCCTTGCTGCATGGCAAGCATCTGAAGGGTACTGAACCAGAAACAAGAGCAGTAAAGGCAGTTGTTTCAGAGGAGCGAGAAGGAGATTTAAATAAATGTACCCAGAAAATTGTCCCTCGCAGCCTCAAATAGTGGGGTTATCTGTGAGCTAGTGAAATCCAAGATTTTACTGCTTAATAAATCTAACATCATCCCACCAAACTGCACTCACTGTTACTTGATGTTATGAGGCATTTCAAAAGAAACGAGAGATACTTTTATCCAATTAGACCAGTTGGAAAATTGTTATTTATTTTAAAATTTAGCCAGTGGAACCTTATGAGAAAAAATTTTAAATCAGAAGATGAGACACTGAACCTTATTTGATAAGTATTTTATGGTAAAACATTTTTATCTTTTAAAGAAGAATGTTAGAGGAAAATAAAGAGACATAAAAGGGAAAAAAATAACAACAACTTAGATATTTCAGCAGATTCCTGAAAGAACAAAAGTAAGTACTCTTAATTTTTTTACCAAAGTGTATAGCACTTTACATTCAGATAGATTGTATTTATGGAATATTTGTATGTTTGCAGTGTTAGGATTTCCTCCAAAATTCCAAAGGATGGACTTTCTTTAAGTTATTCTTCTAGTCATCTCTTTTTCTCTTTTTTCAGCAATAAGCAACTCCAGCCTTTTCTGGAGAACACAGGTCACATTGCAGTTCATAGAGAAACAGGAATAGCTTCTAGGAGTAGTATACGGTTTCAGAATACTGCTGCCAGAGCTTTTAAACTGGGCTGTGTCTTAGCAATGATAAGCACAATTTGCCTTGTAGATAAGATAAAATTGGGTGGATGGCTAGTTTGGTCCTTGAAATGAGCATTTTCTATTTCTGAAATAACAGTTTGTGGATGTCTCTCTTAAGGTGGTGGCTCAGAGAAAGTAATGTAAGATGTGCCATTGGCTGCCAGCATAGTCCTAATTTCCCCAGATTGATTGCTCATCATAATAAAAGGCAAAGTGAATGCTAAGCCAGCACACACTGGCTGACTGACACATGTGTTCTGTCTGCCCAAGACCCCGCTAGCCATGCAGTTTAAAATCAGACAGAGTGGGAGTATTCACACCACAGAAATGCAGGCCAGTGCTTAAGCTGGGATTTTAAGGGTAATGAGAAAAGGAAGAGTAAAGCCCTTCCTACCACCAGCGCCCTGCTGGATATGGGACCCTTTCCAAGTACAGGTTGAACATCTATAAATTGAAATCTGAAATCTGAAACACCGTGAGTGCTGAAACGACACTTTGCAGCATCTCAGAGTCAGATTTTTCAGACTAAGAATGCTTAACCAGTAAAACCTATGCAAATATAGTCTGGAAATCTCCAAGATCCAAAATACTTCTGATCTCAATCATTTTGAGAAGGGATACTCAACCTGAACTCTCTTTTTATGCTTTAGCTAGTCACTCAAAGCTTATTCCATCGATATCTATTGATTACCAATTAGGTTTCAAACATAGCTTAATTCTTACAATAATCCCGGGAGACAAACAGCGGTCATTCCTGTTTTATAGATTCAGAGCCTGAGGCTCTAAGTGGCCATTTGGGACACAAAGCCAGGTTCATCCCCCCAAAGTCCGCCCCTTTGGCCAGCATCAGCGGGACACCATAGTCACCAAGTTCAGTCCTGCTCACAGGCACGGCCGCCACCTCCCGCCTGCCCCACAGAGGGCTCCCCACTCCCTCTGCCCACGGGGTTCACTCACCCAACTGGCCAACTTACCCAAGGAGCCAGCCCTGAAATAGGGCCCAGCTCTGTTGCATTGTCCTTGAGAAACAGCTCACAAGGTATTTTGAGGTTCATTGCAGAGATCGGGTGGCCTGGAGGTCATTGTCAACATGCACACATTTTCTGGATCAGCTCTATTTAACCTGGGATCACTTGCATCCTGGCAACTCACGGAACCTGGGGTGGCCCCGTCAGTGTGCACCAGCCAGGCAAGAATTTCACCTCATGGAGTTAGCATTTACTTGGGCTACTGGGTGTCAGGCCGGTGCCTGCTGTTGGGAATGTGGAACTTCAGTTGTCTTTATTGGCATTTTAGGATCTCAGCCCTGTGGGCAGCTGTGTATCAGTAGCTCCCTGGGGCCCTAGTGGTCTCTGTAGGTCGTGCTCTTTTTAGAAAATCTAGCATCCCAGCATGCCCTTGGCAGACAACATAGCTAAGTTTTCTATCAATCCACAGTTCCCTCCTCCACTGACCAGCTAACCGGAAGCATCTCCGCAATTATGCAGCTATAATGATGATTGCAATTAATGTCTAGTCCTAGCTCGGCATATGGCACGAGTCTCATTGATGTCTATTAGTTCATCACAATGACAATTATCATTAAAGACCACGAACTCAAGTTGAACTCTCATCTGCTCAAGCAGTGAAAGTTCCAGTGTGCCATCCGGTGAGCGGCCACCTGTCCCTGCTCCTGGCCCATCCCAGTGGACACCACTGCTGTGAAGGTCGATCCCCTGACCCTGACCAGCATGCCCAGGCTGGGGGTGCTACAGCCCAGACCGACTCCTGAACATGCACTCTTGGGACATTAGATCCTCCTTGAGGAATTGTCATACTCTTGACTAATGCTACCCTCAGTAGCACATAATAGGTTCCAAGAAGCCCTTTCATTTCTAAATGTCTGCTGTGTTCCAGGCACAGTGCGGGGTGCTAAGGATGTAGGTGCTGGTAAGGCAGCAGGCCCCAATCTCAAAGGCCTTAGGCTTGGCGTGTTTCAGCTCTGGTTCCTGGTGCTCACACCTTAGTTCTGGTTGACACACGTTTATAACTCAGTGCTGAATTCTATTAGCCTCTTAGAGGGATCTGGGTAAGGGAGAGATCAAGCCTAGAGATAAAGCGGGGAATCATAGTGCATAAATTTAAAACCTCGCATCTGGGCCACCAAGGAGACTGTGTTTGAGGAGAAAGAGGCCTTCAGAGGGAGCTCTGGGTCCACCAAACTTCAGAGATCAAGGAGACAGGAGACCAGCAAAAGCGTGGAGAGAGCTGAGCAGAGAGGCAGGAGACAACAGGAGAATGCCGAGTTTGTCACTTCCCTCGTCGCTGAGACACGACACCCAACACCCATAACTTAAAGGAGGACAGGTTTATTTTGGCTCATGGTTAGAGGCGATGGCTGGCCGATTCCAAGGCAGAAACAGCAGGGCAGAGGGGCCTGGTGGAGGAGAGCTGCTCAAATCATGGCGGCCAGGAAGCAATGCGCAGGGAGCCCTGGGGAGGGAGAGGCCCCTTCCCGGTCACCCCCAGGGACGCACTCCCGACCGAGCCCCACCTCCTAAGAGCAAGTCAGCTTGGCCCCACCGTGACCTGCTCTCCTTCCGCAAGCCCCGCCCGTGAGCCCCTGAGGCTGTGGGGGACATTCCCCAGCCAAGCCACAACAGAGTCTCAAGGCAAGAGGAGAAACCTGCCTGGCTCTTCATCCTGCCCTTTCTGTGTGTTTTCTGCCGCATGAATGTCTTCTAAGCATTGAGTACACTTTCAGCTGGTGGAGCTGGGGTGGCGTGTGTGTGGCCACTGTATTCATCAGGGATGCCCAGGAAAGAAACCCGCTTCCTTTTGACTGAACCACTAATGCAATCCGTGGGCATTGAATGTTGGTCCCACCATGGGCTGAGTCCGCATCACACTGGACGCTTCACGCTTTGTATGGAAATTTGCTCTTGTTGCCAGAAAGAAGGGGTAAGACTCGTTTTTCTAAGAGCAGTAGGTTAAGTCTACTCCCCAAACAAATGTGTGCTGAGCTGAAAACAGCTTTGGCCATGCACGACTCCTCGGGCCTGGCATCACCCCACCTGTCATGGTACACCCTTCCCGTGGTTCTGAAACAGATGCAGATGACAGGCCGGGGCCGGAGGTGGTCTGGAGGTGAGTGGGATGTAGAGCTGGTGCTGCCCACCCCAAGGACAGGTGAATAGTGGCAGGTTACAGGCGCTGAGCCCGGGCCTTAGATGTCCGTGATTCCTGTCAGTTTCTCAGAGCACGGGATCGTGGAGGTGGGACAGTGAAGGCTCCGAGAGAAGCAGGGTTTGGTGCTGTGTGGCCCTGTGGCAGGGTGGACGACTCTTTGCTCCAAGCCCACGCCGTGGGCCACTGCAGTGTGGTAGTCTGAGTGGGCGGAATGAGCCCTACAACCGCTTGTTATTTGTCAGTGTTCAATAAGTGTGTGTTTGTGTTACGATGTACAAAGAGCTTGTCTGTACCAGGTGTGATGCTAAGGGCTCTCCTGTGCTCGATCCTCCCCACATTCGATCCTCCAAACAGCCCTGTAATGGACGTGCTGCCCTTCGCCCGTTCACAGCGTGGAGCGCATGCTCGGTGGGCAGTTTGGCTGTTGAGCCCCAGGGGCTGCTGCCTCTCTCTGGCTGCTGACTGGCTGTGCACATTCAGACAGCACGCTTCAGTTCCTTCTTCTGAATCTCTTTGCTTCTCCAGTCTGCTGAAGCCCTGAGGCAACTCCTGCTGAGTCCAGTGGAGGATTCTGCCTCAGAACAGACCTCCAAGCTGGTGAGATTCTGCAGGAGGAGAGGCCCCTAGGAGAGGGACACATGCAGATTGGCTGTACCCTGGGCAAAACCCTGGGACAGCAAAGCACTGGCACACATGGCCAGCTGGGATGGAGGCTGGCAGAAGGCAGAGGGTCAGAGGGCTGCGGAGCCAGAGAAGGGAGGCTTGGCAGTGGCTCTGGTGAGACCCCTGCAGCTTGTCAGACCTAGATCAGCACCTACACAGAGAGGAGGACCCCGAGACTCTGGTCCCTCGGAAGCCCTGGGACAGGGGGCAGCATGGTTGACACGCTATGAATTCGAGAGTTGTCTTTTTCTTTTCTTCTCTCTGCCACAATTTATGAAGGGAGCTGCCCTTAGCCTTGCATTCAAGCAGTCGGTAACCCTGAGAGAACGGAAATGTGTTCTGTTTCAGACCTGCACGCCCACCCCTGTGGAGCGGGCACCATACAGGGGAGAAGTCATCAGCCTGAGATCCAGAGAGGCACCAGAGGATGCCACAGCAGGGACCGGCACGCAGGCCGCCTCCTGATCGGCTGCCGGGTAAGGCGCAGAGGGTAGGAAAGTATTCCCAGGGTAGGAAAGTATTCCTGGGCCAGTTGCAGCACGTGGGTCCCCATAGGAGATTAGTATCTCTCTCTTCACAAGTCTTTGAAGAGTCCAAGGTCAAAAGCTTCAAAGAGATGTAGACTCAGGATAGCTGAGCCCGGGGAGACGGTGAAAGACCATGATGCAGCACAGGCGGATGAGCCTTCTGTTGGAAGAAGCCCTTGGGCTGACTGGAGATACGCTGTCCGGGCCGTTAGGAGCCCATGGAGAGCGAGAGGCAGAGGACTGGTTACAGGCAGCAGGCCTCTCCTTCCCTGAAAACAACACCGCCGTGCCATGCTTGAAGCTTCCAGATCCATCACGACTTAGAGGCAAAAACGAATCCTTGTAATGGAAGCACGGTTATGATTAGTACGTAGACTCTCCACCAACCCCATGGCACCAGGGTTTGAATAATGAGTGCTTGAAAAAGAAGCCCCCTGTATTCCTTCCACGGCTGGGTGCTGTCCGCCTTTAACAGTGCTCTCCAGCCCCCAGTGCCAGCATTTCTGTCACTTTCAGATCCCTGGAATTATTCTTCCAGTTCAGGAAGATTTGTTAAAAGTTCGGAGGAGGATTAGCTTCAGAAGGCAGCGATGTCAAACTCTGTTATTAAAGGCATCTGCAGGAGTGGGCTCAGTGTTCTCTTTGATGAATGCATTACTGGCCTTAGCTTGGTTCTGCCTCTCTTTGTGAGACAGCAGGTTCCCCTGAGCACCTTTCATTTTCTTCAAAGGTGAAATCAGAGGAAACGATGCCGCAGCGGGCTTCAGCCAGTGCTGTTGACCTCATTTCAGCGCCTGGAGACCCCTGGGCCTCACGATTCCCTGCGAGAAGCGACTGCGGCCTTCTCAGCTGCACCTCTGTTGCTGGACCTGAGACAGAGGTGGAAATGAGCATTGCCGAAGTGGGCCGTCCGCTCCTCGGCTTGGCTTTCCAGTGCCCTCTGTGCCTGTGCTACGTTTCTTTCTCTGTATTTTTAAAAATCACTTTCTTTCCTGTTTAGAGGTTTTCAAAGGGCTGATTTGCTCTAAGCCAGCGCTGTGATTTTGCGTGGGATGTGGTTAATAAACCCTGAGGTCTTCATGGTATGCTATGCCGCCTGAACCTGTGGGTCCCGAACAGGTACCCCAAGAGTGTGGTGTCTGCCGTGCTGTCTGCCGCCTCTGCCAGAGCTGGACCCTGACAGCCCCGTGTCATCCAGCCGGGCGCTGTCCAGGGCGGCCCCATGGAGACGGCGGGGTGCAGGACTCAGGTGCAGCTCATCTGGCCCCGCCCCTCCGCTGCCTGCCACGCCCGACCCTGCGTGCAGGGCTGAGCCTGTTTCTTCTCCTGGGTGCAGAGGTCAGGAGGGGTTTTAAACCCGAAGCCGGGCACGTCGGGCGGCTGTGTTCCCCTGTGGCACCTGCCCGGCCTGCCTACTTCGATCTGTCTGCTGCTCAGAAGGGGAGAAGGAGCCAGGAGGCCCGGAGGGGACCCTGACTCTTCCTTCTCAGGTACCTGAAAGTCTTTTACTTTTCTCCCGGACTTTGATTGACATGGAAACCTCACAATGAAACAACAGAGTCCTCGGAAGGAAATATTCACAGCGCTTTCCTACCCAGAAGCCAGCGCCCATTAGCGTTCAGCTGCGATGTCTTCCCCACAGCCTGTGCTGGCCTCAGCATGACGGGGTTCAGTCTCCCTCACGGTCCCTCACAGCAGACCCCACCTCGCACCTCGTCCTCCCCGCCCTGTGGAGGGGTCCTCAGTGTCCTGGGCTCCACATCCGGGGTTCTGCCAACCGCGGATCAAAAATACTTGAAAAATAATTGCATCTGTTCTGAACGCGTCCAGACCTTTTGTTGTCCCACCCCTGGACAAAGCAGTGTGACAACTGCTTCCGCGGTGCCTGCACTGTTTAGCTGCTGTAGTAATGGAGAGGGGAGTCAGGCCTAAGGCAGGACCGTGTGGTTCGAGAACACGCTGCGCTGCGCCGTCTGACACAGGCCCCTGAGCATCCTCAGGTGCAGGCTCTGCAGAGCCCGGAACCCACGCCCTTATACTCAGCACTGAGCTGACAGCAATGCTGGGGTCACAGCTGAAACCTCCTGCCCCTCTCTGCCCCCTCTTCCCCCGGGGCAGCTGTCGTCCTGGTCTGGCTCTTTGTTCCCGTGTGCATTTTTTGTGCACAGCCACAGCGCACAGTGCAATCTCCTGTCCACTCTTGCTCCGGGCTACAGCCTCCTCTGGCGAGCGTCCCCGGCATCAGCACTCAGCCCAGCTGCCCGGAGCCACGCTGGGTGCTGGTGAACTCCTCAGCGGAGGCGCCGCCCTCAGCGAAGAGTCTCAGTCCCTCTGCCTCCTCTCCAAGCTCAGGAGCTGACCCAGGGCGGGGACCTCACCCGGGTTTGCTTCTGCATTTCTGGGGCCAGGGGCGGAGCTCCTTCTCCTGAAGCGGAATTGCTCTCCCTGTTCCTCAGCTTCTCCTCACGAGGCCTCCACGGGCTTGCTGGGCCTGCGTGGGCACCCACACCACAGATGACCGCGCTGACCGCTGGGCTGGTGGTGACGGGGGGGGGACAAGCCCGGTCTCTCAGACAGTCCCTCCTTCCTGCAGAGAAGTCTGCCCGCCGGGGGCAGCGACAGACCTGTGCCAGGGCCTGGGGTTCGGGTGAGCCTGGGCACCGGGGCAGGGACACGTGAACAGGCCAGCTGGGGTCTCTGCGGGGAGGCCCCACAGGCCTGAGCAGACTTCAGAGCTGCCGCGGCTGCAACTGAGCCAAGGAGCGGCAGTGGGGTCCCCTCTCTTCTCACCCGCCTACCTGAGATGAAGCCCCCAGGAACACAGCTAGAGTAAACATTATTACTGTCATTGCTATCACTCTTGGCTTTGTGAGACAGGGTCTTGCCATGTAGTTCAGGCGGGCCTTGAACTCACAGCAGTCCTCCTGCCTCAGCCTCCCGAGAGCTGGCATGCAATACCATTCTGAGCAGCAATGTGCTCAGCAAGTCCTTGCAGAAGGAATGAAATGATCTTGGGAGGAGAAGATGATGAAAGAGGAGGGGGGGATAACGCATGAATACAAAGTGAAGCTGCAACAAATCAGTGTTTGGGTGGCGGCTAGGACCAAGCTTGTCTTAAGAGCAGGCCGTGGGGTGTCAGAGGCATCTGTACCAACACTCCCGTCCCTGGGCCTCTGGGGGGCTCAGGTCTGCAGAACCAGCAGGCAGGGCGAGAAAGCACTGGCGGGGGTTTTCAAACTGCTGTTTGGCCTGGCAGTGTGACCTGGTCTCCGTCGGACCTTCGGCTTTGTGCTAATGAACCTCAAACGCGGCCAGCAGACTCTGAATGGCAGCTTCTGCCGGGCTCCGTGAGGCACCGGACCTGACCTGAGCTCTGCATAGCCTCCACCTCTTGCTTCTCCGCAGCTTGGAGCTGGGTAACAGATGGGGAAACAAAGGCTGAGAGAGGAGAAGCAACAGCCTGAAGTCTCCAGGTCGGCAGCAGCCCCGGGCCACTTGTGTGGACAAGGCCAGTCGAGTGCGCTCCCTCGTGGGGACTCGGGGAAGGACGTGCAGTTATGGCAATGTCACCTGCGTTCAGCCCGAGGGTGCTGGCACGGATCAGGCAGCAGGCACACTTCCTGGTGTTGTTCACGTGGTCCTCCTCCCAGCGCCTCAGGGTGGACACATGAGCTGTGGCCTCTCAGAGCCCAGGCCCTGTCCCAGGAGGACCTGGAGAGGGACCGAGAGGCACCCGGAGCCTTTCCAGAGCTGTTTCCTGAGCAGCCACGACGGCCTGGGTAAAGGCACACCAGCCTCGCTGGGTGCTTCCTGCAAACACTTCTCCACCAGAGGAGGTGCAGAGTGACGCACCAGCAGTCTTCACAGGATGGGCAGGGCCTCAGAAGCAATCCAGCACTGGCAAGGGCAGTTCTCCTGGGGCTGTCTGGGGTTGGGTTTCCTTTCTCCTGTGCATTTTATTTAAGATAACTAGACGCAAATTTGATGCTTTTCCCCCTAAACCTACAGTCAGGAGCCCAGGTGGGAAGATGTGGGAGCACAGAATCTAGACTCAAACTGACTCAGTTCAGGACTTTCTTCTGCACCGCTTGGGCAAATCGCTTGAACTCTCCCAAACTACCTGCCTGATCTAGTAATACCCAAGGCTTTCAGGGTACATAAACGGTGTAAGTCAGGAACACTCACACCGTGCGGGGCACAAGCAAGCTCCCAATCGATATCTGTTGCTATTATTGCCTCCGGATCAGCTACTTTCGTGTTCGGTCTCCTAGCAGAAGGAAACCACCCAAGTCCTGTTAGAAACTTCCAGTTTCTGAGTCAGCTGCTGCCCACCATTGCTCAATAGTTCAGCTACAAACTGATCTAAAACTGAAACACAAAGCCTTCCTCAAGGTTCCCCAGTGACTGACTGTTGTTTCCCTATTTACTTTTGTGGGGTCCCAGATTCAAGGGCTGATAGATCACCCTAACCACTGAGACTCAGATGCTCACCCTTCACCCCAGGAGATAAGACGTCGCTGGAGAGGAGAAGGAGACATTGCTGTTTTCTGTCCAAGTTTTCCCCAAGCCAGTGACACATGAGCCTCCCCAGCTCATATATTATTTGGCCTAATTACCGGTGAATGTCAATCCATGAAATCAAAATATTCCTAATGATTTAGAATTTTGTTTTCATAAAAACTAAACTTAAATGGAGTGTTTGTCCCTCGTGACTTGCGTTGGAAGACACACCTTGTGAGCTGTGAGCTGGGGGCTTCACTAGTCACACACAGATCAGAGTTAGCTCAGCCAAGACCGAGGGGCACCACGGGGCGTGGTGGACTCGGTGGAAAGAGAGCAGCAGCGCACCCCGTGGCCTGGGGCCCACCCTGTCCAGCCCCTCCACCCTGGGCAGCGAGGTTCCCTGAGCGTCTCTTATGCGCCCAATATTGGCCTGCAAGACGACACTGAGGGAGAGTGGACCTTGCCCGGGAAGAACAGACGTTGCTGATCACAAACTGCCCGTGTTTCTAATCACAGTGCTGCCACGCCGGGTTAGACCAGACCACAAAGGAGACTGCAGTGAACGTTGCCCCCGCACGGACTGGGGCTGACTTCTGCCCGATCTCCTCACTACCAAGGGCTGCTCGGTTCTCGGTTCTCCTCCTCCCGGCCCCAAGATGGATGAGCGTGTCCGGTGCCCCGAGGGAGGCAGAGCAGGGGTTGTTTGTTGGGGAACAAATTATGGCATGAGCGCTTCCCATGGTCACGGGAACCATCCACCCTGAGGCCCACTGCAGACAGCAGGGCCAGGCCAAGGCGTGAAGTCCAGAGAAGATGCAGGACCCTCACAGGAGGGACCTGCCTGGGAGGAGGCATGCAGGGGGCTGGAATCAGGGTGCAGTGGCCTGGCACTTCTGCCAGGAAGGCCAGAGGCCACCGTTTGTGGGGGTGAACCCTCACATGACGACAAAGGGCCAATGACACACAAGCGCGGAGTTTACGCCTAGGTCTAGGTGGCTTTGAGCAGCAGCTAGGTTTCTTTCCAGACCAAAGAGCTCGGGTAGGGCCATGCCGTCCCTGCTGCGAGCTCCTGGTCCGCCCCGTCTCTATGCGGCGGGTGACTCAGGGCTGGCTGGGTTCCACTAGTGGCTCATTTCCATGGCAACTTGCTTCTCCCTCTTTCTGTTCTCAATCTGTCTTATTTAAAATCCTAACCATGTTTACATCCTGCCCTGAGACTGAGGGTCTTAAATTAAGGAGACATGGTCTTCCCAAAAACTAACTTTAAAAACGTATTTAAGCAAATTAAGGCATAATCTTTAAAAACACAAAACTAGGAACGTATAATTTCTCTATAACTTGCTTGCTAAGAAACAACTTTCCTTGTCAGTCCTCCTCATTGATTTTTTTCTAAAACTCTTTTTTCCATGCATACTGAAAGCTAGCCCCAGAAATATCACCAGGAGGAGAGCAAGGCTCCCCAAGTCTAGTCTGGCTCTCAAACTTCTACCCTGCCCTCTGGACTCGGCCAAGTTCTGGTCATGGCTGCGATCAGACCACCAGTCTCCCTGTCCACACTGGCGAAGATCCAAGCTCCATCTTGAGCATGGGTAGAAGAGTCCCAGGGAAAATTGGATTATATTTCACTGCATCATTTGTATTAGAGCAGTGCATCTGTAATTTCTAAGGCTTCTGGCATTGTTTTCTTCCTTTACTGAGGATGGATCTGCTGACCCTTCCTTCGAGCTCATCTTGTACCCACCCTGAAGTGCGTTTTGACCACAGTGCTTTTGGCTGTAAACTGTAAGACTTTTCAGAAATGCTTTGATGGCGCCCACTAATGCTGGCTGGAGGTCACCTTGTGTGGCTTTCAAGGGGAGTTCCATACTTTTTAGCAGAACCGTCTGCCACGGCTGCAGCCAGTGTGGACGGGCAGGTCCCACGGCTGAGGTCCTGCACCACACGGCTGACCATGCCCAGCTCTCTGGCTGATGTGGGTCCTGGCCTGGGTTTTCCCTCAGGGCCCAGTGAGTCTCCAAGGAGTAGACCGCTTACTGTGGCCGAGGGTGGTTCCCAGTTCCTCAGGACAGCTGTCTTGGACTGTCTCCAAAGCCCAGTGCTGACATCTCCCATCCTCCTCATGCCTGCATATGGAGGTACCGGAAGATGTATAAATGCATTCCAGCTGGGCAGCTGTGCTCTGACCTACTTGCAAAAGACTTTCTAAGACTTGGATTCTGCGCTGGGCACATATGGTGGTGCTTGTAGGGGAGTATCTAAGTTCGGTGTTCTCTCTATTGGATGGAATTATGTTCCCCCAAGAAGATATGTT